TCCCGCAACCCAGAAAAAAAAAATGCATTATGGGATTTGATGCGGGGGGTTGGGGGACGAACATGGCCGGATGTAGTATGCATCCAGGAAACCCAACTACTGGGCACTCCAGAGCATCACAAGGCGCTCAAGCAAGTCTGGCCCTTTCATAACTATCAAGCCTTTGCTCCCAGCCCGGGGAGCGCCGGAGTGGCAATATGGATTCCACCCGAATCACGTTTACAAGTGTTCAGCTGGGAAATGGATAAGGAGGACAAACGATGGGTCAAAGTACTGGGCATGTTGGAACTGAAGGTGGTGGGCATCATATCCTTGTATGCCCCTAACACAGCCCGTGAGAGAAGAATTTTTTTCGAAAAAATCGAATCGATCCCCGTCCCAGGCATTCCGATGATCCTAGCAGGAGACTTTAATGCCGCACCGGACAGACGGTTGGATAGATGAAAAATCTACCCCACTACCTTATACAATGCAGAGGAGGATGAGCAGATGCTGAGAGACCTTTGTGCCCCCCTTTCGCTGTTCGACACATTTAGGCGTTGCTTCCCATCCGAAAGAACCTTCACATGTATCCAGAATAATGATCCCTCCGGGCCATCTAGGTCCCAGATTGACCTTATTCTCGCATCAGAAGCACGAGGAGGAGGGCTCACCAACGCAGCGATATTACCAATCAGCCCATACCCAGGACTGAACCATAGAATGTGTATGGCAGTTTGGACCTTTCGCAAACGCCCTGACCAGGGGGCTAGTTACTATAAACTTAACACCTCTTTACTGCAATCCAAATCCTTCCAGAAATACCTCCAACAAGCATGGGATTTATGGAAAAGCCACCGTCCCCATCACGACTCTCAGATCACATGGTTCAACAACGGACTGTTTTTTATGGCCAAAAAATGCAATGATTATTCCAAATACCTTACTGCACAAAGACACCAACAAGAAATCATGACAATGAAAAGCCTCATGGAAGCAGAGCAGGAGCAAAATTCGCAAGGGTAGGAACTGCCGACCCCTGAAATACAAAACCATATACTGGAGTTGAAATCCCAACTTTTCAAATACGCACAATATCGCTGGCAGGGAGCTCGGATAAGGGCAAGGTTATCCAAATCCTCTACGGAAGGCACAATGAACTCTTTTTTTTTCAGTCTGACCAAAATACGCCTTAGAAGAACTACGATTGAGGCGCTCTACGAACCACAAGCCAGAGATTCGGCCCCGGCCGTGACCACGACACGATGTATGAAGATAACATATGACTTTTATAAGGATCTATTATCCTCGCACATAGACAAGTCGGATGTATCATCCCATGATCGTCAACTGAAATAATTTTTGGAACCGGTTGACAAAAGACTGACACCCGAGCAACATGATTCCTTGGAGGCTCCACTCTACAGTTTTCCTATGAAGAAGTTTATATGGTTTTATGAAGAAGTTTGGCACACAGGAGAGATGGGAGAAAAGATGGGACATGGCGTTTTGACCCTCCTGTACAAAAAAGGAGACAAAATGGACATAACAAACTACCGCCCAATCACACTCCTCACAGTAGTATATAAAATGTTGTCCAAAGCTTTGGCCAACAGAATGATCCCAGTAATGGAGGATATCATACATCCCTCTCAAACCGGTTTCATGGAAAATACAAATATACAGGAGAACATTCTACTGCATCATGAGGTGCTCCAACTCACAAGACACTCTCGCCAAAACGCGGCTTTGGTGGTCATTGATTTCGAAAAGGCTTATGACCATGTGGATTGGCTATTCCTTGATAGATGTCTTGAAAAAAATGAATTTTGGGCTAGATTTCAGACGTTGGATACAAATCCTGCACCAAAATGCAACCACTTGTGTCCAAGTCAATGGGAGCCTGGTACCACCCCTACGTCTACAACGGTCGGTCTGCAAGTGGGACCCTATCGCCCCGTTTCTTTTCCTGATCATCATGGAGACACTGACCGCTAACCTTAGGGCTAATAAGAACATCACCAAAATCCATGTTACACAACATCCCAGAGGATGCAATCCCGATATGTTCTATGTTTGCGGATGGTCTCACACTCCTAGTGGAGGTCACGCATCACAACATGGAGGAAATTCAACAGATGATGGAAAAGTTTGTCGATGTCTCCAATATGACAGTCAACTGGGGGAGCAAAACGCAAGGGTGATGGATTCATTATCAAGGAGGTCGCCCCCCTGAGTCACCACGAGTTACATGGATGCCGTTAGAGACCCGTTAAGAGTTCTAGGGGTAATTATGACCTCAGACGAACGTCCACCAACTAATGACGAATGGATTAGCGCACCAGCTCAGCAAAAACTAAGCAACTGCCGAAACATCCCTCTTTGGTCGTGCCCTGGTGATCAACAACGTAATCTTCGCAATGTGGTACAAATCGCTATTGTGGCTACTGTCTAAAGCAACCTTGAAGAATTAAAAAAAAAAAGGCAGCATCCTTTTTGTGGAGGGGGAACGATGAGCAAAACAATGTGATAAGCCGAGTAGCGTGGGATTCGATTATCCAGCCTAAGGCAAGGGGGGGCTTGGGAATAATTGACCCGGCCATACAGTTACAGACATTGTGTTTAAAATGAATTAAAAAGCTTATTTTTGCCCCCTAGTGTCCGTGGTGCGTTTTAGCTCTGGAACACCTGGCGAGACTGACACCGAAAAACCCTCAAATGATCCACCCGCTAACATGGTTGGAGGACCGTTTTTGGATGGTGGCACGCAAGCTCCCCCTAAGAAGGAAAGGGGAGGAAGGCGGCGGTCAGATATTGGATAGATTTTGGCCATCCCTGTTGAACTCCTGGCGTAGTCTCCCGCTCCTAGACAAGGTCCATCCCGATCGTTGGGAAGAAGTTCACCGTCAACCTCTATTTGGGATCGCTGGGTAACGGACCCGGGTGGCCGCGTCATGAAAAGCTCATCCAGACCCTGGAAATGTTGGGTTAAAAGAGGTGTGATCAGGGTCGGGGACCTTTGGGATAAAGACAGACAGGACTGGAAAACAAGGGACCAGTTGCAGGAAACCTTGTGGCACTGCCATCATGTAGAGGAACATTTGAACCGTTTAATTGAATCTATCTCATTGGTCTGGTACCAAATCCTTAAACAGGGTCCCACTCTGAGAGTAGGCGATTGGGTGGCAAGCATGGAGACCCCGCCAAGGGTGGGCCAGATACATATGGTCGCACCCCAAACAGTCCGGGTCGAGCACTACACTATCGTCAGGACAGGCGCCCTCCAAGGGAATAGAGACCCCTACGAATGGAAAGAAAGAACATCGCTGTACCGAGTGAGGGTTATGGAAGATAAGGGACAGAGGGTCATCTTCCAGCCACTCAACACAATTCAGGACTTGGCCCTGAACCCAACGGAATGGACTTGGAAGTTGGAAACTCCCCCAGAGGAGGGGAGGCCCCAACACCGGACATATTAGTTTGTACCAGTTGTCAGTCAAATCAGCCTACAAAATGCTCAGATCCAAAAGGTGTTTGAGAGAGGTGGTAAATGACTGATGGGCTAGGCACCTAAATGTGGACCGCTCCCTCCTCTCACCTATCCAATGGCTTAAGGAACAAAAATCCAAACCTATGAAGATCACCTCCCTGCAGTGGCAGATTGCCCATCGATATTTGCCAACAAATGACTGGCTGACAGACCGCACTAATCTCGAACAAAGAGGCCTGCTGCTCCCATGGTGCCAAAGGTGCCAGAGTCTTTTTCCCTTCCATAAGAAAGCGGAAACCATCGAACATATTTTTATGCAATGCCCAATCACCCAATTTATTTGGCAATGGTGGGATCGCATTTGGAGGAAGATGGAACCTGCAATCCCCTGGCCCTGGTCCAGGCAAGCCATACTGGGCGACCATTGGACGCTGGCAGGAGTGGCTACGACCTTCGTAGAAAATATGTATAGACTTGGAAGGAGAGCGGTGATATGGGCATGCACCTTGGCTATGGAAAAGGTGAGAGTGGAGGGTCCGGAAATTACAGAACAGATCCAGCAACAAGTGCATTTGAACTCACACAAAGATGGCTGGACACAAAAGCACAATTCGAACTTTTTAAACAAACCGAGGATGTTAGGAGACGGATCACAACATTCTGCACAGACTGGTTAGGAGGAGAAAGAGAAGGATGGATCGCAAAAGTGGAATGGAGTGGGGATGGAAGAGAGGAACAGTGAGAACTGGAAGATATAAGAGACTACCATTTAGCCTTCAAAGACTGGACAATCATAGAACCCTCATTCCCGCTACGTCCCCCATCGGATTTCCCAGCCCCATTCCCTCCCCACAACCTTTCCCTGGCAGAAATCCTGTCCTAATGATCCTTTGCAGGTTCCTGATTACATATATACATAAGCATTACATATACATGTACGACTACACAACTAAACGGAGTTCCTCCCTAGTGCCCCCTGGGGAGGACTCCGCTAATACTATACTTCCTTTTTTCTCTGAACTACCTGCAGACACTGGTCCCGGTTCTGGAAGGGCCAAAAGAGAGATGAAGGGAGCAGGTTAGGGGTAGGAAAGGGAGGAACTAGTGGACAGTGAAACATTGGGCGCTTGTTTCAGGGTGAAGAGGTTCCCCTTTCTCACCCCCTCACATCCTGCTCAGTCAATCCCCTGATTCCAGGGTAATCAATGCTGGCAGGGATACCCCACAATTGTCTCCTTGATGTATTCAATTTCAGACTGTAAAAGGGACGCTGGACCCACTTTCCAGCAGGTGACGCTCCCACCAATAGATGGACCCCCCCCTAGGTGTTAGTGGCGTCTGCTCTTATCAGCACCACTAACACTGGAAGGGGTTGTTTTTTTTCTTAAAAAAAAATTAAAAAAAAATAAAAAAAAATGGAACTAGTTCAAGGGGTACAAAATACTGCAAATGGCAAACATGCCGAAAACTTGTTTCTTTTTTTTTTGAAGAAGCTGAGCTAATCATGGTTATCCTTGATCTTGTCTTGCAGGTGGCAGCTCTGGTATAGGTTTGAATACAGAAGTTCAGGTTGAGAATAGACCTGTGACACAGCAAGGAATGATGGGAATGAAAACAGGAAACCAAGGTACCACCTTTTCCTTCTCCCCCATACCAGCCTGAAGGTGGTGTGAGTGCTTCTTTTCTTGCTTGCTTGTTTGCTTTTTTGGTTCCTTCTGTCTTTTTCATTTATCATGGCCGTATCTATGTTCCTCGACCTATTTTATTAAGGGAAACATTGGCTGTAATTGGCTGTAATTGGCTGTAATTGGCTGTAATCGGCTGTAATCGGCTGTAATTGGGCTGTAATTGGGCTGCACCTGGCTGCACCTGGCTGTAATTGGCTGTAATTGGCTGTAATTGGCTGTAATTGGCTGTACTTGACTTCTGTAATTTGCTGTAATTGGTTTCAATAGACTGTAATTGGC